ACTCAGAAAACTATTATTTCAGATGAAGAGAAAATTAAATTTGAGCATCAACGACCTAACAGGTTATATTCAAGCATTATTGATTGGCAACACATTTTGTTCATCAAAATAGAGGAGACCTTAACTTTTCAGAGAATTACTGCAGAAATGCTTAATTTTACAAATATCAAATAAAAACATAAGTGAATTTCAGTTAGATTTTTTTTACATTGTCTTGTAGTATGTACAACCAAACAACCAAAACATGGGAGTCTTTTTTCCTCTGTGATTCATCTACTTGTGCATAATGTCTTATATGTAGTAATGAGGCAGACTTGGATAATTTTTATTAGCCAAACAGACAACAGTAAGGAAGAAAAATAAACAAAACATGCTTTAACATGAGTAAAAGTACACCAGCTACTAAGACTAAAGACTGCTTTAGAAAACAGACCTGTTGTGTGTCTGACGTGCTAGGAAAGAGTGTGTTGACTCATTGTTTTTCTTCCTGGTAGGATTAACCTGCCACAGGAGCTTCTCTGGAACCTTGGAAACCAAAATGTTGTTGTTATTCCTATTATACGTTTCTAGGAAATGACAGATAATAATTTTTTCAAATTATTTCACCTGTGGTAGCCTTTGCCTTTGTCAGTAATACCTCTTGTCCCCTTTTTTCTAAATAAGATGACAACTTGGAAGTATGTCTTTAAATTGTTTCCATAAAATTAAAAGGAACTATAAGTAAGAAAATATACTTGCATATGCATTTGTCCTGGTTTGGGACAAATTTGGAAGGGAATGTCCAAAGGGATATTCCCTAAAACACAAAATTCAGTGGCTCTTTCCCCTACCTGTTCGGGTGATAAACCTCCTTCGAGAAAAGTGAAAAAGTCTGTTTATTTAACAAGCAAAGTATTCACAAACATGAGAAAATGAAAAAATATTAAACAATGGAACCTCTCGTTGTTCGGAAGAGATGGCACATTCAGAGAGAGTCCTTTGTCAGTTCAGAGTCCTTTTCGTGGCTGTGTCCTCGGCTTTCTCGCAGTCTCTCCGGGGCTCGGGTCCGGTGTCCCGGCCGCAGTGCAGCTTGGTGGGGGCCCCGGACAATAGTCCTGGTGTTCCCGGACCGAACAATGACTGAACAATGCCAAAAAGCCTTTCTGGCTTCAGCTAACGAGAGGAAAAACCAGCGAAAACAGCAAGGAAAACCTCCCCGTCTATCTGCAGAGCAGAGAACTCCGAGAGCACTGCTTAGCTCTGTGTTTTGAATACAGCCGCGGAAAGAATTCCACCGCTTTTCCTTCTTCCCCCCACTTCGCTGTCAGATCTAGTTTTAAAGGTGCAGAACTTATTTCTGGGCTAAACAGACGAATGGGGATACAAACCAGCATCATAAAGTCGCCGCAGGACAGTGGCCAGAGTTTTCTAGAAAAAGCTGTTCATAGAAATGATGGAGCTGTACAGTTCACCAGTGCAGCATAATGTACAGAGTGGTGGGAAGGAGATACATTGAACTTAAACGTATTTAGGAAAGAACAGGTTCTTCAGACACTGATTTTTAACATCTCTAGCCTTTTCTTCCTGACAAAGCATGGAATATGAACAGAGCAAAGAGAAAAGCTTGGTTTAGGTTACTGCAAGTTATCTTTTTATCCAATGCTTTCAACACTATTTTTTTTCTGCAATCCTTTCAGTCTTGTATTTTCAGACACTGAGAGCTTTTGATCCAATGAGCAAATTTGATCTGCTTATTCTTCACCTGGTACAATTCCTCATTCTTTGAAGTTGCTGCTTATCTGTTCTCTTATGAGGTGTGTGGTAAGAGTGTGAGTCCTTTAGGGCCAAATCCTGCTCTGCTAAATCCAGTAGGAATAATAATTTCTGCTTTAGCAAAAATGGGATTGAATCCTCTGTCCTCTGCAAACAAGTGCTGTCCCCAAATGTCCTATTTGGCAACCCAGTTTCTACTACTTGGAACACGTGTTCCTCTTTATATTCAGAGTGAAGATGCTATGGAAAATGCCTTTCCTCTTACAGTAACAATTAAAGCTCCTTATTATCCTAAAAGGAAGTGGCAGGGGAGGCTACACATCTATTGACAGTATTTATGATAACCCACATGAAAGTCTAGAGCATACAAACATTTAGGGTAACTTTTCCCTGGAGATGTCTGTAAGAAATACTGGGACATCCTTTTGCCAATAAGGAAGAGAGATGTTTTTAAAAACAGTGCAAAGAAGTGGCTTCTGAGTGATTCATTGGTTTAGATGCTGTGTAGAATAATAGATGGGAAAAGATAATGAGCCTGTGAGGTCATTTAGGGTTGCTGCCTGCACTGGTTTGTGGAGCAGCCTCCTTTAAGTAATCCTGGGAATGGATTTGCCTTCAATCCCACAATAGTTTATAGATACTTCTCCCAGTCACAATGATGTTGTCTCCTCTCAAAAGGTAGTGGTTCCAAGTGTACAGAATAGCTGTAGGCAAATGAAGAGTAAGGATAGATGGAGCAGACTGGGAAGCAGGATTAGTACATTTGGTTTGGAGGGCAATAGTTGTTTTGACATTTCTAAGGTGCAGTGTCTCAACACATAATGTGTAATCCGAGTACCAATAGTGCTGCCTCAGAGGCAGGTTCATTGCAATACTGAGTGCAGATACCATCTCCTGTAATTGTTTCGTGAGATGGGCTTTCCTTCTGGCTCACAACTGGCATTCATTAGTATCGTGAGGGGGCACGTAAACTTGACAGAGCAGGTACGTAGGGAAATGATGTGGTTTGGCTGGGAGTCATCGCAAGGAGAAATACTTAATAGTCGTGCAATACTGCAACTACATATCGTGTATCATATCCAATAACTACATATATAGGGTTCCATGTATGCCTCTGTGTGTGTATAAATATAAATATGCACAAGCAGTTTAAAGGATTTATTTGATGAGTTGGGCATGACAGCACGATTCAAATGCAGCCTATTCAGAGATAACGACTAGATATAATGCCAAGCATGTACCAGTAAAGATTTTACAGTGTTTAAGCACTGAAGTCAGTGTTTGTGCAAGACTTTAACTCAGTTTCTCAGTGCAAGGCGTGTTCGCGCAGTGCCTGGTATGGCCGATGTTAGAGTGATTGCGGGGTTTTTATATTTCCCTTTGCTCTGGAATGCGTAAATGTGCAGCAAACAGCTGTTTCTCTGTCCGTCTGTCGCTTCCCGGCCGCGGGCGCTCGGGTGGCGGCGCTGCCGCGGGACACGCCGGGAGCGGGCGCCGGGCGGTGCTGCCGGCGGCCGCCGCCGGGGGGCGCCAGGGCCCCGCCCACGGCTGCCCCGGGAGCGGCGATCCCAGCGCCGCTTCCTTCCCGCGGGAGAAGCGACTCGGCCCCGGGGTGCTAAAAGCCCGCGGGGATGGATCGTAACAGACGCTCTCCGCTTTCGGGACTTCAGCGGAACTGCCCAGGGCTTGTTTCCCGGCAGTCGCTGTGGCGGCAGCCACTTCCCAAGCAGCTCACGCTTTCCTCTCTATGCTTTTACTCCTCCCAGTATCTTGGATCCCCTTTGGTAAGGTCACAGGAGTGAGGTCATGGAGTTGGCTCTTGAGAGCACATTGTTCATCCCCTCCTGTTTCACATCAGCGCTAGGCTGCGTTCCAGGCTGCACAATGTATTTACGGTGTTGAGTCACTCCCATGGTGCGGTAATATCTGTGATGATTAACATTTTTGCCTTTGTAACAAGTTTATTTTGAATGGCTAGTACTTGTGCATGTGGCTGTGTAATCTTCTTCAAGGGAAATAGTCATTTCCCAAAAATGTCTCCCGCCAGCCTTCCTGTCCATCAGATGCCACCAGAGGCACGGTAGGGGCTAGTATGGACAATGAATTCTATAAATGCCAGATCAAAATATATCAATTTCTGGACTAGATGTTTAATTTTAAGTTTGTTCTGTGAAGTAGTATTGTCTCAGATGAGTTATCAGTTTATTTAAATTGATAACTGAAGCAACTTATGTTGTCTGAGAGCATCTGAATTCCTGGACACAGATTTTTACCACTGATTAAGGAGGCAGATTTACATGAAAGCCTTGCTCAAACATCTCCAGGCTGTGCCGAAGCCATGTTTTGTTGCCATCAGAATCAGTTGGTGGTGTGGATTTGCTGTATTTCCATCTATACTTTCAACACTAGTGTAATGTAATTTGAAAACAAGTAACTTTGCATGTCCCTTGCACTATTCTCACTCCTTTGCAATTGTACCTTGCTCTTTTCTGTCCAGCTACACAATTCGTTCGTATGACGTCTTGGTCTAAAATCTGAACTTGCTACTACGTATCTTCTTCAGTTGCAGCCACATGTATGTAGTTTGCTCGGGCTGCACCTCAGTGTGGCAGAACATTCATATTCATTATTAGTTGCCTCCATCCATATTGAACACAAGCATAATCACTATGCATCAAGGAAAGAGGAAAATGTGATAAACTTGTTGAACATGTTTCATGAATATCTATTAGCTGAATTCTCAATTTACTGTTCTCCTTTGCATGGAAAATGTGTAGTAGACACTTCATTGTCAGAGTGTCAGTGATCTACTCTCAGAAAATAAAAATAATCTTCTTATTACTTCTATTTAAATGAGTGAATAAATATCCTAAAAATTGCTTTATTTAGAGTGTTATTTATTCCAATTTGATTATTGGATCAATTTAATCTTACTTTCAGTTAGTTTTAGGATGCGTACGGATTGCCTTATTTTTTCAAGGAAAAAAGATGCACTTCCTCAAGGAAGAAAATAATGCAAGCATATGAGTCATCCACTTAACCTGGTCCCATAATCTCATTTGTTAAACAGTAGAATGTTGCTGTCACTAAAACTTTTATGTGATTGCTGTGAATGTACTATGTGTCACTGACTTTGTAAAAGTCATTATATGTAGAAATATACTGTCAATACTTTAATGAAAAAAAGGGAGAGTTCCTAATGATGGCCCTGTAATATCTAAAATGGTTTAATTTCTTTTCCTTTTTAGTAAACTTCTCAAGAGAAAGAAGTCTGAAAAAGGGCTGCAGGGAGTGACGGGAGAATGGTTTGAAGAAATAAAAAGAAGAAAATTTCAGAATTACATTGATGTCAATAGAATGTTAAAACCATCATTAGAGCATCAGCTAAGGAAGAGCAAAAACACCAGTGAGTTGCATTTGTCCATTTCCTCATCTTTATAATAGTGGTCACCAAACCACTTATGGCATGTCTTATGGCATGTCAGAGTGCAATAGCTAAGGAGTTTCTGAAATTGCGCTGAGCTTCTTCTCATATAGTTTTACTAAAGATGTATTTTCAAAATGGGTGTGTTTCTTTGAGCAGGTTCTGTTAAAAGCAGAGATGGGATTCACAACAGAAAATCACTGATATTTTTATGCCATAATTAGAATCATAGTATGGTCCAGGTTGGAAGGACATCAGAAGATATTCAGGTCCAGTTATTCATAGGAAAGGGAACCTGGATGAGATTATTTGGCACTGTTTCCAGTCACATCTTATAAACCTCTAGTTGATGGGGACTCTACCATGTCCCTGAGGAGTCTGTTCCAGTGATTAATTGTTCTCACTGTAAAAAAATGTCTTTATTAATCAAAATGAAAATGCTATAATTATAGCAAACACAGTGGTAGTTTCCCAGTGAAAGTATTGATGTCTGCATTGTACAAAAGGTTATGGTTTAACCCCAGCTGGCAGCAAAACACTACACAGCCATTCACTCCCTCAGCTGTGGAAGAGGGGTGAGAATTGGAGGGCTAAAAGTGAATTGAGATAAAGGCAGTTGATAGATAAAGGAAAAGCTACACACACAAGCAAAGCAAAACAAAGCAAGGCCTTCATTCACCACTCCCCACAGTCAGGCAGGTGTTCAGCATCTCCAGGGCTCCATCACATATAACAGTGACTTGAGGAGACAAATGCCGTCATTGTGAATGTCCCCCCTTCCTTCTTCTTCACCTAGATTTTACATGCTGAGTATGATGCCGTATGGTATGGGATATCCACCAGGTCAGCTGGGGCCAGCTGTCCCAGCTGTGTCTCCCCCTGCCTCCTTGTGCACCCCCCAATCCAGTCGTTGATGAGGTGGGGTCAGAAGTAGAAAAGCCTTGGCTCTATGTAAGCCCTGCTCAGCAGAAGGAAAACATCTCTGAATTACCAACACTGTTCTCAGCACAAGTCCTGAATGTAGCCTCATATTAGCTACTATGGAAATAAGTAATTATAACAACCAAATCCAGCACATTCTTTACTCCTTATTCCATGCCATTTACATCAAGCTCAGGTCCCACACTATCCAGTATATCCCCATTAACCACCCCACTGCCTTCACCTTGTGTGTGCTCCAGCTTAGACTTACCCATATACTGCAGTGTCTCAGGTGTATACCTACTCCAAGTAGAGGCACAGTTTCTCCAGGGATATACTTCTGCAGCATGGACTTATCCACAGCCCCAGTCCATCTGAGGTGCACCTTTTCCAGCATGGCCTCCTACCTTGGGCCACAATGCCTTCAGAAATGCACCCACTCTAACGTGGCTTTACCCATGGCTGCAGTCCCTGCCCACTGTCGTGGGCTTATCCATGGCCACACACTTTGATGACCACATGCACAACCACAGATTCTTTGAGGTGTACCTTCTACAGACTTATTCCTGGTCACAATCTCTTCAGAGGTACACCATAACCTTGGCACATAACCATTCCACCAAGGAGCACTAGGCTCTAATTTACAGCCTGGCAAGCAAGCCCCATGGCAAGCACTGGAGCCTGTCAATTAATAGCTAAAAAGCAAGAACAGTGATAAATTCAGTCTAGCATATTTCACTGAGATCTGTCGTTATCTCAAACACTTCAAGCCTTACACTGGGCATCCTAAAGAACTCTTGTGGTTTAACACCAGCCATCAACTAAGCACCACCCAGTGGCTCATTTGCTTGACCCCCATCAGGATGGGCAAGAGGCTAAAAGTGAGAGAACTCATGAGTTGAAATAAAGACATTTTCATAGGTAAAGGATAAGCCTTGCACATGAGGAAGCAAACCAAGGAATTAAGTCACCACCTCCTGTGGGCAGGCAGGTGTTCAGCTGTCCCCAGGAAAGCTGGGCTCCATCATGCACAGTGGTTGCTTGGGAACACAAACACTTTCACTCTGAACATCCTCCCTTCCTTCTTTTCCCCTCAGCTTTCTACGCTGAGCACGGGTGCTGTATGGTCTGGAATGTCCCTGGGGTCAGCTGTCCCAGCTGTGTCCCCTCCCAGCCCCTTGTGCACACTGAGCACACTTGTTTGTAGGGTGGGGTGAGAGGCAGGAAAGGCCTTAACTGTGCGAGTGCTGCTCAGCAGCAACTAAAAGATCCCTGTATTACCAACACCGCTTCCAGCACAAATCCAGAACATAGCCCATGCAAGCAGCTATGGAAAAAAATAACTATACCGGCCAAAACCAACACCAGAAAATTTGGTTTTGCCTAGTTTTCTTAAAAACCTAAAAGTACCTAAATGACATTTGGAATAAGTAGATGACTTTGGGTGAGAAAGGTTTGACTATACCAGTGGAAAACTTTTTCTGGTAACGCTGGGCTAAAGGCATACTAGTGCTTATTATCAGGGTGAGTGTCAAAGCCTGAAAAGTTGGCCTGACCAGGAAGCAATTTCTTGAGATCTCATTTCACAGGTTCTGATGCCCATCCAAAATGAACATGCACGAGAAATCTGGTGTCTCTATAAAAAGCATGGTATTCAGTACTGTCTTTCATCTTCTCTCCAGATAGTTCTTATGCCTAATATATGCTTTTATTCCATTCACACTTCTGCATGTTTTTCATTGAGCTTCTCCTATTTGTGCTTCATAACAACTTGGAGTAATGCATTTCAAAAGAAAAGTGAAACTTTAAACATTCTCCCCATACTACATATTTTAACAGAACACATCTCAGTCTTCCTGACCTTTTATCCCCAACATCCCCTCTAGTCCTCAGGTACCTACTATTTTTCTCTTTCAGAGATGGTCTAATTGAGTAAACTCTGTGTAACTGTTCTCTTGTATTTAACTATGAAAGCAGCTGTTTCTATTTCAGATCTGAAGAAGGGCTTGTGTGCCTCAAAGGCTTGTCTGATATTTCCAACTGTATAAGCTGGCTAAATAAAAGATACTACTTCTACATGCAAGCCTTGCTGTGTCTACATCCCTAGACTGCCCTGGCAGTGCTATTAGGACTCTCTTGATGTCACCTGCATTGTCAAGTCAATGCCACCAAGAGATTAGGCTCTGAAAGGGGTAAAGAATGAGGCATTTTGAAGTACACAGAGATTGTCACTGAAGGGAAAGCCACGTATTACACACAAGATTTAAATCACTTGACCTGAATTATTCACTTCATTTTGGACAATGTCCAAAATGCTGCTCCTAGCTATTGTTAGAAATGACACTTTGCCCTAATTTCTGGGTTTTCTTTCTCCTGCACTCATTGGATAAGCCATTTTCAGGCTGTTATATTGTTTCAGGCATGGGTTGCTTTAAATGGAAAAAGAAAATGTAATGCCTTATTCCTGAGTGACATCTTGTTTCCTTGTATCCTCTGGTGTGATGCAGATCCTGCCATTTCTTTCCGTTATCTATAAGCCATACTCATCATCATCTTCCTACCAAATGCCAGCTGCTTTTACAGGCAGACTGAGTTTATGTTTTATTTGAAGAAAACAAGTAATAACCTTCCCAAAGGAATCATTCAGGATATCTTGCATTGAAAATACAGATGTGATATGAAGTTTGTAGCAGAAAAAAAAGGTATCCAAGTGGCCACAGGAGTCCCATTGTAAGGAAATCTATGATACAGAGGACACGTTAGTCTGCATTAGTGTTTTGTAGTTACATTACAGTCAGTTAGGTCATTATATATTCTGGGTAGTCACGGTCATATTTCTTACAAATGTAAAAAGAAAGTGAGTAATGATTGTGGGTGCCTCAATTTTCAAATGTTTGATTTGTCTGTATTTTTAAAAAGGTATGATTTTCAAGTAATTCAGTTCTGATTACTTTGTGAAATCAGCCTCATATATCTCACATGTATCATCCAAAACAAATAATACATTTTGGAACTTTAGACCTGTTTATCTTTCTCTGTCTTCTAGTTAGTCATTATAAACAAGTATGTCACAGAGTCTGTCCAAAAATGTCAAAACTGGATTTACCTGACATAAAAGATAAGCAAAACAAAATTGTTTATTAAGATATAACATTTATGTATATTTTAACTGTATTTATTAAGAACTTGAAACAAATCTACTTTTTATCACACTTTTAGGTCATCAAGAAATAAAAATGTCATCCCGCACAAATCCTCAAGCACAAAAGAACACTTCAGCTTCCTTTCTGGGGTTCAGATCACCTTTTGCTTGGCTTTCCTCCTTTAGAAGATCAAGGAAAACCCAGACTCAGAAGCAACCACGGTGAGCTATAATCAGAACATATATTATTTCCAGCTTTAAAAAAGTATATTAATTGTTCTGTGGTTTAGAACAAAGTTCTAAAGTGTTAGAAAATTTTGTTAAATTATTTTTTCAGTCTCTTGCTTTTTACCTCATTGGGAAGATTGGGATTTTAATTGGTCCTGTAATGAGAGATTATCTGTATTGTGTCAGAAGAAAGACGACTAAGTCACAAGTAGTAGGTAGAGTCTCTTGGCTAAACCTATTTTGCTCAGGTTTTGCATAAAGACTTAAAGTATATGAAAGACTGTAGACTTAGCAGCAGCTACATCCTATTTCGTTCCCTCTCAAGGACACGGTGTAAGGTGCATGGGGATCTGGTGCCCTATGGCTGTGATACAATAGGAAAGCACAGCTTTCCCAAGTCATGGCAGAGAGTGCCGGCCCCAGGCAGCTCTGCTGCATCAGTTCCCACCATTTCTAGCCCAGAAGCAGCCTAGAGGCAGCCCTGCAGCTTTAGCTCCAGCCAGGCAAACCGGACAGCTCTTGGCCCTTTTGCCTTCTGTTGTGCTTTGGTTTCAGTACTGTGGTTTGCTTTGGTTTACTTTGGTTTTTGGATCTGAACCAAAGTTGGTCTCATATGCAGCTCTAGAGCTGCTGTTTGAAGAGCATCCTTCTCCTTTGCCATTCCCAGGGCTGAAGCTGCTGTTCAGAGGAAAAGGGGTGAGGGGAAGCTACAGTCAGGCTGGTTAGGTTGCCTGATCTCTCTTAACTTTTGTCCTGTGTGGCCATAGATCAGCAACATGTAAATGAAGGCTTACTATTCTTTTGTGCATCTTAGAGTAGTGCTTGGGACTGGCAATCACAGGTAGAGCTGCATTGTGCAGTGCTGTGAAATCTAAGTATAAAGGTACAAGATCTTTGGTACAAAAAGCTGATTTTCTCTCAGCGAGTCTCAGACTGGTATTGTGGTCTGTGCCTGGGGCTCCCTGCTGGCATGGTGGCAAGACAAGGAACAGCTGTAAGAAACAATGACAGGGAATGCAAGCCTCTAAAGAAATTATGATTAGTCTGATACGTAGATTTTGTAACAGACAGCTTGCTATTGTGGAGTGTTTGTATCAAAGCAGGAGATTTAATAAGTTTAAGTAGAGGCTGTGAGGTTAGCTTTGTGGATTTTCACCGGTAATAATTCTCTTACATAACAACACACACAGAAAAAGAACATGCGTTGTTAACACTGCTCCATACCTGTCGTCTGCTCCTTCCTCTTTCTTGCGACCTGGCAATGCCTCTCATCCTGGAACACAGAAACACTGGGCCACAGTCTTTGCTGAAGAATAAAGGGACACTTGTGTAACTGAGAATCAGATTTCAATGGTGCTTTATCCTGGTGCACAGCAAGGTAGCCAATGCACATAAGAAGTACGAGGCTTTGCTGTAGAATCTAAGCACTGAAATGATTTCTTAATTTAAGAACGCAAAAAAAACCAAACCATGCCTACTTGTTACATCAGCTTTTCTTGTGTGTTTATCTGGCTTTTCCATGGAAAATCTATCGTATCTCAGGCTCAGATGCCTTTGATTTCTGATCGAGCATAACTTGAAAAATAAACAAGTCAATCCTGACGTGTAACTGAGCCGATTGCTACATTTTCTAGTCACGCCTCTCTGTTGAAAACTTCCCCCACCCTCTTCTAGGTGTTGCCGTGGCATGTGGTTTGCTTTATGCATAGGCAAAGCACTGAAATAATCTGCCTCTCACCAGGTAGAGTTATTTTGGAGAGCTAGAGAAACACTATAGGACGCAGCACTGTAAATCCTGTAAGTAAGCCTAACTGGCAGAAGCTCTTCAATGGCTAAACATTAATGGCTGTTTAGAGGGTCCTTTCAGTTCGGGAGTGACAGTTTCGGCAGCTGCGGTGGTGTTCTACTGTGAGAATAAATTATGGATGCTGCAGGAAGGAGTGCACTTACATGGAGATACAGATGATGCTAATAAAAGGTTTGTAACTGTAGTCTGAAGGTAGTTTGATCACTTTCGGTTTAAAGGTGTCAGTTCTTGAAATCATCCTTACTGTTTTCTGTATATGTAACTGTGATTCATCCTGGACAAAAATGCTGTTTAATTGTGTTTTCAGCATATGTGAGTTATGCGTTTGGATTTTAGTTGGCTTTTTATGTAGTACTGATAAGAATAGTTTTGAAGAAAATAGATTGTACTGACATTAGACAGCTTGGTGGTAGCCTGAGGAAGACAGGTGCTTTGCCTCTGTGGAAATACTAATTTACAGCAGATTTTAATTAATGGATTTTTATTATTGTTACCAATCGTGATAGTCATCTTTTACTTCTTACATTTGATTGTCATTTAAAAGATACATATGTATGTAAGTGGAAGAGTAGAAAATACAGTTTCTCATTTTCCATATTGAGGAGTATTTTCCAGATGGCAAATATTTCTGAACTTGAACATAAATTTTGTTTTTTTCCTGTTTATGAATAATAGACAATATTTACAAATGTGTGTGAATGCATTGTGTACAAATAATCTAAACATTGTTTAGTGTCATTAACCAAAAAAGAAACTGAATTACTGTTTCCTAAAATTAAGCAATATTTCTCTGAAAGTAAGAAAAGCTTTAATTTTGAAATGCTGGAAAATTTAAAACAGTTCATAGAAAATAATAAGGCAGTTTGGGAAATGGAGAGATTGGCATAGGGAAAAGCTTAAAATAGTCTTGTCAGTATATAAGTTAGCAGGGAGAAAAATAAAGCAGGATGCAATGACCAGTTATTCCTGAGAGAACAGTGACAATAAAGACACAGATGAATTTAGAATAGTGCCAGAGGTGCAAATGAAAATTTAAATTTTGCCTAGACTACCAGAAGACATTCTAACTGACATTTCTAACTAACATGTCTACTTCATGTAGGTTCATTGCAAGGAACAATTAATACAACATCAAGTAGGGAGAGCTCTGCGCTCTTGGGCTTTGCCAAAGAGCAGCTTTGCACAGTAAAGCTGAAGAAGAAAGCTTCTAACAAAGCTTTTGCATTTTTGTTATGCATAGAAGTAAAACTAAAGTAACTTGCTAAGCCACAGGATTTTACTGAACTTAATTTGCAGGAAGTCATTGTAAAAGCTCTGAAACATAAGTTGTGTTCTTAATTTGTTTTAAAAGCATTAAAGCACAACTTTATTTAAGTTTAAAGGAAAAGCAACATACATTTCTGAGTTTTGGTTATGTAAACTTCATTCAAAGAGAGAGGTAACCCCCTGATTTTATGGCTGTTTTTAGTCAGAGCTACAAGAAAAAATTTGGAATTTCAGATTCAGACTGTCTAGCCAAATCCTAAGCCTGCTGAAGTCAACAGGCTTGTTTGGTTTCAGTTGGACCCCATGTCAGAGAGGAATCCTGGTTTTACACTTCACAATTACAGAAGCAAAAACAAATTGCACCTTTCAACTGTTCTTCCCTGCCTGCAAGCACATTGCAAACAAATGACAAAGCACTTCGGGAGGAAAGGCTGGGCCACAAAGAACTTGCCAACAAGCCGGTTTATACTTGCTGTTGAAGCACAATAAAGTAGTCTACCTGAGCACAGGGAGGCTTTAAGAGCCTAAGAACAAGGTCATTCAAAAAGACTTTGAGACAAACAGGACTGAACAGAACCATCTTTCCCTATTTCATTTTCTCCCAAGAATTAATTTCCTGGGAAAAAACACTTTCTGAGACAAGGAAGAACTGGCAATCGGCACAGGCTAAACAACATTTCCTTCAGGGCTTTTGAAGGGACTGGGTTTGCCTAGTTGTAAAACAAGGATCTGCAGACTCAAATAGACTCAGTGAAGTCTAGTCCCATTCTCGTTTCTTTCGTTTATTTTGTATTTGTCTGCAAGTCATCAAACAGAGTACTTTTTATGTTCAGGGCTTCTCGGTTTGTTCTAACCACTGCATTACTCACGGACGCTCGAGCCAGTTCTCTGCCAAGCCCTTGCAGCCTTAAATAGCTTAGGAAAGCAGATGAGCCCTCTACCATGTCTTAAAAATTGGTAAATAAAGGCTGTTTTGGGTGAGTAGCGCCAAGTTCCAAAGTTCACACCAAAACCAATCTGCTGTCTGTCTCTCCTCCTTTGCAGGGACAGAGCACAGCTCTGCATCTGAGTAGGGTGGAATGGAAGAGAAAAACAATAGAATTGCAGATGCAAACCAGTCAGAACTTAACAAGTATATAACTTAGGCTATGAGTAGTACCTACTAAATTATTGTTGTTTGGAAAAAGAATGAATACCATCTTACCATAATGCTGGATTGAAACAACTACTTTATGGCTCTTGCAGATACTGGGATGTCAGTAGGTTGAGTTCATTTTTGACTGTGCAGTTAGGAAGTTTGCAAGCTGACAAGGCCAAAATGAATAGTACATTTTCCCAGCATTTTATTTTTGCAGGATTTTGGCTGGGGGGAGGTAAGGATGAATTCTTCATAGGGAAAGTTTTCTTCAGATGCTTCTCAATAGCTGTTAAAATGAGAAGCCGCTGGATATTTGCTACCTGATGAAATTACAGCAAGTTCTTTTTCAAAGCCAACATGTAAATCCCTCTGCCTACAGATATGACAGTTCTGCTAGCCCACCCTCAAAAGTGGAAGAAATGGCAACGGTAAGTAGCTTATCAATTTCTTGTCTGCAATGTTTGTGCAATTTTTCAAAAAGTAGTCCCCGTGGTGTAGGCTGTTGCTTTAACATCTGTTGAAATAGTATTCTTGCAGTTCTTGTTTTAAATGCTGAGTAAAATGTCTGTGTTGTGAACTAGTTGCATGTAGTAGACTGAGCTTGTCTGTTAAAATCCAAAGCTTTCCTAGCTAGGCCCTACATAAAGCTCTGCGGATTACACTTCTCTCATAATGACAGAATAATTTCATGGATCTTTTCCTAGGTCAGGACCTTAATGTATTTTGGCTACTGTAACCAACCTGTAAATAGATCAAAACTCACACTAAATAATAATCTAGTGTATTTACTCTGTTTCATTTCATTTGTACAAGGATGAAAAACTGGGCAGGCAATAAGCTAGACCCTCTTATGCAACATTTCCATGCACAAAGTTACCATGTAAATGTAAATTTGAAGTAGGAATTTTTTTGGATGGATGGATGGATGCATGGATGGATGGATGTTCCATTTTATAAGCACAAGTTCATTTTAAGGATAAAACAACAGATTTATTTCTGATGTAATTTAAGTGCATGCTGTTGAAATACCAGGTTTTCTTCCAAGGATTATATTTTCTATCTTAATTATTTTATTACCCTGTATTACTAACATGCTTTTCCTTATCTTCAGTTGGGTGGCATAACCACAGAGGGGACTAAGAAGGTATACAGTGTATAATCAAAGGCATAGAAGATGTAAAATGGCCACCACCCTCCTCTTATATTTCAAAAACAAAGAAATAAAACAGATAATATGGGTGGGATAGAACCTCTCAGTTTAACATGTAATCCAAACACAGATGGGGAATAGGATGACATTTTCCCCACTTTTACCACTAAGTGCTGTCTTCCTATAAGAAACTAACTGTAGTGTTAAATTATTGAATCTCTTTTGGGAGGTCAGTGGCTGAATTTTAAAATACACTGGTCAAGGAAGAAGTGATTGTGAAAAACTAAATTGAGAGATACAATGCAATAAGGATGCATTTGGATAAAATAGGTAAACTATACCCTTATCCAAAACATGCTACAGGATGAGGACAAGATGAGTAATTCTCCTTATTATATGTATAGAAGTCTATAAAATGCATGCAATTTTACAACCCTCAGTTGTGTATTTTAATAATACATTATTTACTGGACTGACAGAGTTTGCTCACCTCCAGGATATGTGACACAGTTTGTGATGTGATATGTGAAATGTGATTTGAACCCACATGTAGAACTGAAACCAGGTTACCTTACAATTTTTAACAGGCTGAAATGTGTAATTCCCCAATGTCAACTGAAACAAGCAGTCATTCTTTTGATACAAACCAAAATGAAACAATGGAGAAAAATACACTGGAATGGAATGAACAGCTAGAGAAGGAGATTTTCAGTGGTAAGTGTGTGTCCTTATTTTGGTATTGTTTGATAGTATTGTTACCAGAAGTTACTGTGGTTTGAAAGAATTTTCTGCAAAAGCACAGGCTGTAAAACATGGCTCATTTCTAGCCGTTTCTTTTTGTTGTCTTTGTCTGACAGCAGAATGTGTACTCCAAAATTGATTTCAGGAGATGTCAGTGACCAGTCACTCTTAAAATGTGTTTCATCTCATACTGATACAGTTCAGAAGAATCCTATGTAACTGTGCACAGTTCTCTCTGCTGTTTCTGCCAGGAGCCCATACTGTGCCCTTTAGATGCATACATATGGTTATGTGAGAATTCTATCCCAGTTTCCTGCATGCATAATTTTAATAATAATGAATTACTGGGCCTGGTTTTATAAACTGTAAAGCCACAAACCACACAAGCAAAAGGCATTATGGCATTCACTTATTTTTCTGGGAGCCTTTTTATACCCCCAGTCAAGAGTTGCAAGTTATTTTTTAGGTTGGCTCATATCCTCCCAATGGAAGACTCAGAAACAACTCATATTTTTTCTTGTTCTAAGCTGAGTTTCTCAGGAGTCTTCTATTTTGTGTGCTAAAAAGAAACTTAGGAAAAATTGAGAATTTTAGAACCTTTGGATCACATTTTATTCCAACTATACATATTTATCAATGCTTTCTTAATGCTTTTGCAGTGTTAGCACAGGTCTGTAATGACTGATCACACAGTCTAATGTATTTAAGTGGATTAGGAAATTCTGTAATAAAACAATCGTATCCATTGTATATTATGTGTAGTATTTTGAAAATAGCAGAATACAACTAGCAAAGGCATAATTGCTTTTGATAATAAAAGTAGTTTTAATACATTGTGTCAGTCTTCTGACTGAACATCTTGGTTAATTGAGCTACATAGTGTTTAATTCCAGTTCATGAGGTTGCTTATATATATTTATATAAGTACATATTTGTTACTAGATTGAATCACAGCTTCCTAACTATTTAATTACCCTTTCATATTCAGAAAATTCCATTTTCAGTGCTCATAAAATTCAGAAGAGAACTTATTTTATGAATGAAATAAACAGTGGACATGCCAGACTACTGAATATGATGTTTGATGGTTTGCAGGATTCTGTTTTCGTATAGTTATGTCATAACTCTGCTTTGTGAACACACAGAAAGATCCATGTTTGCCTAGTAAATTCTTTTCAGGGATTTTTTTGCTTACAGACTATATTTGGAAGGTTTACGCACACACACACACACACACACATGCACACACATACAGTGAGTGAGAACTCGGACTTCAAATTGTTTTGTTCTTCTTTTAAATAGCATAAAGACTAACATTACATAAAGAGCAGTCATGGCGGAGAACATTTTTTTCTTGTAGTCATAATGGGTGACTGATGAAAGATCCTATGGAAAAAGAATGTGTGGTTTGGGAAAGGTTTTGAATGCTGAGAAGCTGACTGAGAAGCCAGTTCTGATTATTAATGTAGTACATGAAACTTTTTAACATAAGCAGTCAGAAGATTATTAAAGAAAACAAAACCAAGTATCTTTTTTTTTTCCCCCTCTGTGCAGTTCTAAGTGATCTGGATGACCAGCTGGCCCAGGAACAAACCCAAGACCCTTTGGACAGGATCATTTCTACAAGCAGTGCATCAAATATCCAAAGTAGTAGTGCATGCCCTACTTCAAAGAGGCAGACTGCTAGTAGGGGGCAACAGAGAAATGACTGGAGTGACATTCCTAGCACATTTTTCCCAGATGGAATGAGAACACTGAGAGCCAAAGATGAACACAAGATTTTCATCAGACCAAGGAAGTTACACAGTGCATATATAAACTGGCACCAAAGAGCCTTTCAAGAAGATTGCAGTTATGGTGATGCAGTCGATGGAAATCCTCATCTGCACCGCAGGAGGCTGTCTGCGGTTTCTTTCGGACGGTCTTCGGAAGGGAGCTTATATCCTCCTTCTGTAACACACAATAGCGGATTTAGGCACAAGGGTTGTATGAACAGGGACACAGCTGGCAGAAGTTACTCTGTGTGTTCCCTTCGGAGATGTCCATCATCAGTATCTTCTGATCAGCTCTCAGCATCTAGTTTACAGCATCCATTGGCAAGGGAGAGCAAGAATGGTTTTGTACCAAGGTTTGGTCGACAGAACCCAAAGAGAATTCCTCTGTCTTCCATTATATGGAACAACACACCAGACTCTTCAGAACAAACTCCAGAAACAATGTTTAGAACTCAATCACTGATGGAGTTTCATGCTACAGACCATGGTAGATATCCCAGCTCTTTACAAGAAACTAAGAAATACCCAAGTTACCACTCAAAACACCACTACAGAAGATCTATTTCAAGCAGTAATTGCTTTAGTAGAGTTAGTTGCCCTGACAAAGCTACTTTTCTGTTGCCCTTTGATAACTGGGAGAACTATCCTTTATACAAATCAGAAAATAATCTCTCTAGATCCTACTATAGAAACACCTCTTCTCATGGGAAGTTGTATGAAAACCAAAAAAATTCTTACGGAAGAAAAGACAGCTATCCTTCTTGGGCTGATATTCCTCAGTGTTACAGTGATGATGTGTTTGTTTCCCCTGATGCCAGCTTTGAAGCATTTATGGCTAATTTAAATGACCACCAATGGGCACATGCAAAGAATGCCAAGTTTGGTTCACAGCGCCTGCAGAATGATTTTCACATGTACTCTCCAGAAAATACAAGTATCAAAAGGATGACAAGAAGTGCAAACAGAAATTTTTCAGAGTTCACTGAGGGCTGTCAGCCTTGGCTAAGTTGTACCGCTTCTGTTTCTTCATCTGGTATCAGAACTGATGAGTCAGTCTTTCCCAATTCAAAGAACCAACCAGAACCTACAAGACTGAACAGGAATTCAGTTGTTGTTACCCAAAGGGGTACTAAGGCAGACTTTACACACCTGGAAAAGGCTGAAGGTGTGAAACAGCCAGATGAAGACACACTGTTACAATCAGTTTCTCAACAAGCAGATACAAGCTACATCAACAAACAGAGTTTTTCCTCTAATGGCCCTGCTTCTCCCATTTGGCAAAGAGATGTATCTCTCTTTAAAACAGTGACATCAAAGAGACAAGCCCAAGCCACTGCCAGAGGAGATACTGCAAAAATTTATACATCAAATGGTGGTACAAGAAATGTAGAAATGAAGGAAAATGATTGCCCACCCAATAGTGTGTTCAGTCAGCCTCCCTGTATTTTGCCAGCTGATGGGAGCAGGAAGGAACCTTTTCTTCCAAGTCAGAAAGAATGGAAACATAATCTGCATTATGCAGCACAGGATAGTTGGAGTGCAGAAGCCCTTAACAAAGCTACTCCAAAAAGACAGTCCTCACTACTAAATGTTACTTCTGCTCTATCCACTGAAAAATTAGCAAACTGTCAAGGCATGTTGTCCTGTCCTCCTGAGCTCTCATCTAGTTTCTCACAAAACTCTCCACAAGCACTTTCTCATAAAGACAATGCTAAATGCTTAGGAATGCTAACTAGCTCTTCGGTAAAATGCACTGTTACAGAATCTCAAGCAGAAGTGGGGGAAACAGCTGAAGTGAATAGAACAAGTGTTAGCAAAGAGATTTCACAGGAGACACTGCAAAATGCAAGCACTTTAGTTACTAAGGACTGTAATGGACAATTCACTACTAGTTCTCCACGAAATGGAAATTATGGAAATATTTATATGCGTAGCTTTGATGGAGACCCCAATACCTCTGAAAATAGTTTAAGTTATTTTTGCCTTGAAAAAGAAACTGAAAAAATGAGGAGTACTTCACCTTGTATCAGAAGGTTTCACAAGCAAGACAGCTCACCAAGACATACCAGTAGCTGTAGCATTATTGGCTCCCCTGGCAGAAACAGCTCCAAATCTTCTGACCCTCTTGTTATTTATTACACTTTGCCTAGAAAATCAGCTAGCATTGCTGGTAGTATTATGTCAGAGACACCCATCTCTTTACCTAGAGAAAACAGAACAACATACAATTGTTTAAGGTCTGAAACTCTGCATGGAGCTGACGCCTCTTATTCTAATCAAAGAGATGCGTCTTGTTTAGACCCAAAATGTTCCTTTTTAACATCAGCATCATTAAATGCTGCCACAAGTAACAAAGATTACCACAGTCCATTAACCAAAAATAGTAATGATTCAGTAAGTAGCAGTACATCAGTTGATGTGACAGACAGATGTAAACATCTAAGTAGAAGAGAATCCTCTGTGTTTTCAGATTATAAGGAAGGGGCAAATTTTTTGCAGAAATATAAAACCACAAGCACATTTACCGTTTGTGTTGATGAAGATCATGTCAAGTATCATGAATTAGTTTCCATTTATTACACACTACCACGGAGGCATTCAAAAACATTTTGTAGCCTCTTTAGAGATAATTCAGAGGATGCAGATTTAACTTGTCCCAAAGAAACTGCTCAGTCACCAAGAACACAAAACAAGAAAAATGAAGGTCATGTGAGTTTAGCAAATGTTTTTTTCCCTACTACTTCAGAAAAAGAGGTGCCTTCATATTCTTCTGACCAAGTATCTTCAGTTCTGGTCACACCTCAGAATTCAAGAACTGCTGTTGACAGTGAAGAGAATTCTCACTTATCCCCTAGCTCTGAGAAATCAGTGAGTGTGGTACTTAACAAGAAAGATAATTCAGTATATCTTCCAGTAGCAGAAAATGCACTTTCTGATGTGGTGACAAAAGAAATTTCTTTTGGTGGCCCACAATCCACTGCGATAGTGACTAAGTCAGGTAAGGCCATTTCTAATGCTTCAAGCAGCCAAAAGGCAGAAATATATGTAAAAGAAAATAAGGAAATTTCACAAAGAGCCACACCACTAATGTCCACTTTATCAACCCCTCCCAAGCCAGGCAGACATTTAGAGAAGCCCTTATATTCTAATTCAACAAATAAAAATATCATACAGAAGGGAAGTTTGGAAAGCTGCTCTCAGCCCCCAAAATTGAACAAGAAAAATCTGAACAGTCTATTCCTCCGCTCCAGAGAGAAGAGTTCCCTTGGAAGGAGTGGTAACACAAAGCATGCTGATGTCCCACTTACTCCCGTGGAAGATACGTACAGGGATAGTGCCCAAGTTAAACAGAGAGTAGATGTCCTACACCGAACCACCTCTCTGTGTAATAATAAATTTAGTGGACTGCATCTAAGGACTGACAGTTCAAGGAAAAAAGAGAATGGTTTAAACTTTTGTAGCAAAGTGCTTCCAGAGTCTTCAAGCAAAGCATCTGAGGTAAGCACAGCTTCCAGTGCTGATCCATTTCTTCAGCTAAACAAAGTGGCTAGCACAGATACAGATGAAGTAAAGAATTCAAAAATTAAAAAAGAGCAAAACTCACAGGGTTCTCATATGGGTAGAGTTTACAGTGGTTTTCAGGAATCAGAGAGGCATAATGAGGGCAACCTGAACATTAAAGATAAAGTCTCCAGGGTTACACAAGATCAGAACATAACACAGAATGCAGAAGAGGAGAACAAGCTTCTCTCCGACTGCACAAGAGACAAAGTCAAAGATATAGAGAAAAGGAAAAACAGACCTTCAATTAAAAATAAATTGGCAGCTGTTTACAAAACAAGTCGTAAATTTTCAAGTAAAAATTTACCCCCCAAACCACACATAAGTAACATTTTTTCACAGAATGATGGAAGTGCTACTTCTTTAGAGGTCAACATGTCCCTTGAGTCATTGATTTCAATGGATTCCCACCAGCCATTCCTGGAGTTGGACAATGAAAATCAGAATCACAGTCTGAACTCTGATGAGAATAATCCAAGACCAATAACAGCTGATAATAAGACTGAAAATCAGAATGATCCTTCTTTGCTTGTTAACAGCAAAAGGAGGCCCTTTACAAGTTCATATACCCAGAAGGAGGACATCAGTCCTCAAAAAACTGCAGTGAAAGTGGAAAATAGGCCAAGACTTACAATGCCATTTCCAGATAAACCAGTAACTACAAGAAATAAGAATTCCCAAACACTTGATCTCAGGTTAGAAAGCAAAAGCCAGCCCATTGCTCCCAGTGCTACTACCTCATACCCACTGGATGAAGAGAAAGGAAGAGCTAGCAGTCATACCTGTGCTCCTCCCTTGCCACTTTTAACTGACAAAAACTCCAACACCCATGTAAATAGCTGCTTGCAGGCAGACACATGTCCAGAGCAAAACTTGACTTCCCAGACAGTGCTTGGTCAGCGTCAAAATACCTCTCAGCCTGCCAGTTTAGAAAACGCTAACCTCAATAGCTATCAGTTGCGCAAGAGCAATGTGAAAAGTCAGCGTGAGCGTCACCTCTCTGAGGGCATTTGTGCTCGAGATTCCCTTGAGACCTCTGCCTCAGGAAGCAATATTCTACCCAAAGATGGCATACATGGGAAGAGATTTAAATCTTATTCAGAGCTGTTGTCTTGTGATGAGAATGAAAACTGGGCGTCAGACGATGAAAAATGCTACAGCACTAGAAATGTAATGTATCCGTCTGTGGAATTTGGTATATTTGGCAAGGAGCAACAACTGGCTTTCCTGGAAAATATCAAGAGGTCACTCACAGAAGGGCGATTATGGAGACCATGTCTACTTAACAACCCTGGTGGTTTCAGAGATACAGAGAGCTCTTCTATAAACAGGGGTGAGCTTCTGAGCTCGAGTTCTACTGGGAGCAAAATGTCGTCAGCTGCTTCATCCCCCCGAGAGCTGACTGATACCTATGTGGAAGATTCAGCTGCTTACTCGGACTCAGACAGTGATACCACCACTGATGATGAATATTACCTAGATGAGATAGATAAAGAATCAGAGCTATGAAGGGACTGTGGTACTAAGAGGGCATAATAGTGTGGTAGTTTCTGGGCAGGCAAAAACATGTCAAATACACTGTGCCCATTCTTGTGCTGCTATAAATTGGTACAGCTTCCTTAGTTTCAAGGGAGTTAGTATGGTATATTAGCTGAGCATTTGGCTTTTGTATTAAATGTGTGGCTTCACCTTTCCTGTTTCTCTTAGCAGGGAAAAACAATGTTAAAAAATCTCTTCCCCAAATAATAGAAGGTAAACAGCTGTGGAGCTTTGGGCAGTGTTAGTCTGAGGATGGCTTTCCTCTGAGTCAGAAAGCAGTAGTTAGGTTCCTGCCAGCTACACAGTGCTGGAATGGATAAATTCAAGCTTGAGCTTGAGCTTTTCTTACAGAACTTAACAGAAAACCAAGAAGTTACTTTGCTGATAATTTGTTGTTTCTCCGATCTTCCTTGTTGTCAAGCATGATAATGCTAATCCTTCCCACTGAACAAATATCCTCACAAAATGAAACCTCTTAAATCCTTACAGCATATTCTGCATGAATGTTCTTTTTGTGCATTCCTGGGAAGCATAGCAACAATGTCCCTGGTGGCATTTTTTCTGCTGTGCTGTTGAGGCAGATTCCACACTAGGACTTTACAGCACTGCAAGAGCTGTGAGGAATGTGAGTTGCAGAAGTACTTCTAGTATAGGAGAAAAAGCTAAACACAGGGCACAGCAACTGAGAAGCCGACCAAAAGAAAGTCAGCTGAGCATGGAAATCTGCTTTCCAGACATGGAAGATTCATAACCAGCACAGCTTTGGTAACAGTTGATATGACAGGCCAGATTTCTGGTCTTAGAAACAGGTTAATTTGGATAAAAAGTCAGACACTTTTAACAATTCAAAATATGAAACTATTTAGCTTGTTAATTTCCTGTATTAACCTCATAGGTTGAATCTTCAGGTGTCCTAGCAGTGAGAAAATAACCAAAACAGCAGTGAGGTCCCAGAGTTCTGCAGCTGCCTCTGCTGGGCTGGTCTCAGGATGAGGCACCTGCAGCCACTGTGCTCCTTTAGGGCAGCAGCACCTGGGGCAGCCTGAGAGGGCACTTGGCTGGGGCACTGCTGCGCTGTACACACTGGTGGCTTCTTACATGCAAAGTAAATTAAACCAGTGAGAAAGGCTCTTTGCCCTTTGTCGAATTGCCATCCCCTTTTGGTATTTTTCAACTGTTCCTGCTGTGACCACAGTACTCTTTATCCTCTAAACGGAATGGGTGTAACGTGTTCCATTGGCTCTTCTTCAGCCACAACAATAATGTAGTATTATTACTCAGTAGCCAAAACTTGTCCCTGGCCATTAAATATCTAACTAAGCTTTATTCTCTTTTTATGAAAAATCAGAAGTGGCTCACTGAGCCAGAAGATATATTTTAAAATAATTATACATTTTCTTCTACTTTATTTCTAATTTCATATATGGTCTGAAATTATGGTCCATATTTTATATGCTTTTTAATTCCATAAAATTTCTGTAGGACATAATTATATTTTTCTAACTTGAAGGACAGCATAGTGGTATTTTAAAATAATATATTTTACAAAAAACAAGCAGTGCTTGTATCACTGACTATTCCACAAGAAACTTAAAGATGAAAATATTACAGTAGGTAAGAGGTATCCTTATTTTTTCATACTGTAAGCTTCGTTAAAGAAGTGGGTCTGTAGTTCAAACCTGTACTGATATATAAGTATCATTACTTTTTGCTGGGGTAATTTGTCTTTTATTGTACATAGAAGGACTAACATAAACTGTATATTTATAGACAGAACTGATGTTTACCACATGCCTGTTTCACAAGGATAAAAGAATATGCTGACATAAGGCAATGCTGGAAGGAAATGACTAGTGTATAATTGCAGTCTTGTAAAAAGTGGTATTCTAAGGAGAAATTAAGTTTTTCTGTAAATGTCTCTATTCTCTGTGTGTACAGGATTCTGTAGAGTAAGACAATAAAACCAGCTGAGTATGTGTGGAATTTCTGCTGTTGTACATTTCTGCGAAATAAATTAATCCAAAAATTTGTGATACCAGCCTACATAAGGTAAAGAATAATAAAAGAAATGTGTACAAAGGAAGTAAATGGTCATATGGTTTTTCTTGACTAGATATGGATGGTTTAGAACATTTTTATTTGTAAATATTTTCTAACCATTCAACAGTAGTTGGATTAAGTGCTCACCTTGCAGGCATAAATTTTTTTCATTTACTGTACTGTGTATGACAGGAAATCAGGTGGCTTGATTTAATGTAAGCAAGTAAAAACTGCTTTTGATTGTAAATCAGTTGTGGAAGACTGCATCCTGTTGAGGATCAGTAAACTAAAATTTACACTGAATAACAGTATTCCAACAGTCAATTCATGAAAACATAGGGAGAAATACCTTTTGAAGAGCAATCAGTTCCATTCAGTTTAGCAGAGCCAAATTCCACTTCCACTCTTCCAAGATTTTCTTTGGCAAAAATATATTCTATAAATATTTATAATTATCAGTATTTTCACATTTAAAATTATTTGTTTGAAATAAATTCTGCATTTACATTAAAAATGTACTGTACTGTATTTGTTTTTCACGTGCTGTGAATGCAGCAGATTATAAGAAAAAAATCTAGCATCCATATGGTTGCCAACATCATCAGGGTGCTGATGGCCAACAAAGCCATGGATTGAGCAGGGCAGGCAGCCTTGGTCCATCTGGCAGCTGTTGCCAGCAGTCACATCAGCTGCTGAGCTCAAGCAGGATGTGCTGTCTTCTCTTGTCCTGCCAGCTGACAAGTCTCCAGCACATAAAATAGTTTTCCATCTGTGGTAGAATCTTTACAGTAGATATATTAAGCTCCTAGAGAGCTGTATGCCTGCAACTTGCCTTGAGGTGCCAATACTCCACATAGGGGCCAAGTGTAGTGTTTGATGAGTAGTTGTACAAGATGATGAGCTCCACGTGTAGATCCCTTCCGTGGCAATTAGGCCTGAGTGAAACCTGGCTGCCACGTGCCGTGTAATAGTGTGAGATTAATCACAGTCTTGCAGCCTTAATTACTACAGCCAGTATTTGTGGTACCTGAGCAGTGCTTCAGCCTGGCTTCAGGAGGAAAACATGGTTTAGGAACTAAGGTGATTTTTCTGTCTAGACCTCTGTCCACCCAGTAAGTCATGCATGTACGCAGGTGATCTTTGAGCATTCTACCATCTTTACGACATTTGAAAGAAGGGACAGAAATGGCATGGTTTCATCAAATGATAAGTCAGGGTGGGTGTGACTTCAGAAGGTCTATGGTCCAGCCTCCTGCTCACAGCAGATTGGCTTCGAGGTCAGGGCTGGCTTTTTAAGGCTTCATCCATTTGAGGCTTGAAAATCTCTGAAGATGGAGACTGGACAGTCTCTCTGGGCAACCTATGCCTCAGCTTATAACACGGAGATGTTACAGGGTGACCATCTCTTCTTTCAACTCATGCCAGTTGTCTTTCATCCTTCTGCCCTACACCATCTCATCTTCCTGGGGGCTTCTGTGAGGTCCACCCCCTCATTGAAGGGATCTTAACAGGCTTAACAAGTCCAGCTGCCCCAGTTTCTCCTCACAGGGCCAGTGCTCCAGCTCTGCCATCTCAGTGGCTTCCCCTGGATTTGATCCAGCTTATTGATGTCTTGTACTGGGGAGCACAAGGCTGGATGCAGGATCTAGATGAGGTCTAACAAGTACTGAGAGGAGGTGGATAATGACTCCCCTCTGCCTCTGCCCTTGTTCCTTCAGCCCAGACTGCTGTTGGCCACTGTTACTGCCATTGATGGCCCACGTTCCTCCATGCCCACCAGGACCCCCAGAGCCGTTCCCTCAGAGCTGCTCCCAACAGCTGGTCCCAGCCCATACCTGGGGTGGGGTGGCTACTTCCCAGGAAAAGGGGTGTAAGAGCACCATCAGGCCCTGATCCCCCTGACTCTCCCTGCCCATGGACACCCTTTCAGCCCAGCCTGGGGCCACCAGTCCCTGCCCCACTGATGGCATAGGTCATTGGTCTCCATTTCTCCTCTGCTCTCCCTAGTGTGGCCCTCTCTGCAGGCTGACAACTGCAGGACAGGCAGCTATCCCAGAGCAGTGTCTGACCCTGGTTCCCCTCACAGGGACTGATCCTGATCTGCAGATTGATGTCCCTGCCTGACCTCAGCCCTGCATCCTGCAACACTACACAAGTTTTTTCTCACCTCTTGGGAGCATCAAACATGATACTGTCAGTGAAGATCTGTGGCTATCTGAAGTGAGGGAATTGAAGAGACTAAAGACAAAAGCAAGAAGGAAACCAGACTTGATAATTCCTCCTTCAAGGAACCTGTTTTTCATTGTTTGTATGCATAGAGACTTGATGTTCATGTTATTCAGAACCAGGCAGAATCCATTTGTGCTCTCATTGCTTTTCATGTGAAAATCCAGGCTTGCCCAAAAGCTAGATTTAATTCTCCTACAGCCTTGTAAGCCCTCCCATCTACTCATACCTTGAAATACTTTCTAGTAGCAGCAAATGGTAATAATGATAAAACAACCTTAGGAGACAAAGCATTGGAGTTTTACCCTCTTTACTTGTAACCCACATTTTAAATCCATGAAATTATTTTGTTGTTATATTTTCTAGAGGATGATACTGTGATTTTTTTTTCTCCCTCACCAAGCATCACAGCACTGATGAGAGCCACCAGCAGCATCTCACCCACAGACCTCAGGAGCACCTGGGCATGGGTGTGTGTCTGAGCCTCCTCTCTGGGACAGGGAGCTAAGCCCAGTGATAGGGAACCACCTGTCAGTGAGTCCTAATAGGGTCCTTGCTCTGTCCTTCACTTTAAAAGCAATTGCTATGGGAAATCTTAAAAACAGTGAGGAATTTTAAATTATATCAGGTTTTTGGGCTTTTTTCCCCCTTTTATAGAATCTCTGTACATCAGCTGACACAAGGCAGTAACAATAAGCTATAGAGAAAGACGATTTTTTCCTCTCTAAATCCCAGGCCAGCTGTTCAGCTGCTGGCTGAGTTGTATCCTTAACCATAGGTAACGTGTTCTTTGAGACAGGGTGACACACCCCCCGATCATCTGCTCCTCAGCGCGTCCCGCAAAGCGCCCACAGTCAGGGGAGAAAAACCTCTCGGGACAGGCAACCGCAGCCCAGCGGCTCCGAGCCCGCAGCCCGCTCTCAGAGCGCTGCGCTGCACTTCCCGCTGCCCCGGGGCAGTGCGCGGCTCCGAGCCCGCTCCCGTCCCGAGCCCCGCGGGCAGGGCGCGCTGCCGCCGCCGGCACGGCACGGCACGGCCCGGCGCACACGGGCTGGGCTGGGCTGCGCTGGGCTGGGCTCTCACCCCGCCACTTCCCTGCGGACATCGCGGCACAGCCCGGAGGAGGAGGAGAACCAGGAAAGGCGCCGACGGATTCAGCCGTCCAGGGAAAGCCCGGCCCTCTCCTCGCCTCCCTGAGGCGCTGCCCGGCCCCGGCGCCGTCGGGCCGCCCCGCGGGGCGGGGAGCGGGCGGGGGGCGCAGGGCCCGAGGAGGCCCCGGAGCCGCTCCGAGCGGCGCGGTGGGGCCGGGGGGCCATGGGGGCCGGCGGGGCGATAGGGAGCCGCGGGCTGCTGCCGGTGCTGCTGCTGCTGGTGCTGCTGCTGGGCGCCGCGGGGCCGCTGCTGCTGCAGGCGGAACCGGCGGAGCCCGTGAGCGCCGAGCGGAGCCTGGCGTGGGGCCCCGGGCTGGACGCGGGCATCGCCGTGCCCGTGCGGTACTTCTACATCCAGGCGGTCAGCGCGGCCGGACGGAACTTCTCCCGCTCCCCGCCAGGTACCCATAGTGTGCTCCGCGGGGCGGGGGCGAGGAATGCAGACCCTACCCCGGGCCGCGGTTTTGACGCAGAACCTGGCTGGTGGTGACCAGCCCTTCCCATCTTCCCTTCCTCCATCCTTCCTTCCTTCCTTTCCCCGTTCCGTGCGGTGGCTGTGCCATCGCTGCTCCCAGGCTACCCCCCGCGCCCTGTCCCGCAGCGCCCGGGACACGCGGGATGGCAAGCGAATCACATGGTCAGAGCCTCCTTTCTTCTGGTGCTGCCCAGTACCTCCTCTGCTCTAAACAGTATGGAATTTACAGCAAAGAACCGTAAGCTCAGAAAGAACCAGTGTTCCTGGAGCTAGTGGACGTAAAATCCCAGTACACAGCTGGGAAGTGGTAACGTAATTATTTTTAATGCCGCACTCACACCAGTTGCTTAAAATTTCTGTCTCAGCAGAGCCCTCTGGGCTCTGTTATCCTACTGCTGCTGCTCCGTTAAGGAGTAATTTTCATTTGTTGTTTACTCAGCACAAGCACAAACCATCCCATGACACTTCTCCTAAGGGTGGGAATTGGGTTTGTTCTTGCAGGCCAGTGGTATGATGCAAGTCAGCTGTTTGCTGCTGCAAGTTAACTCCACACACTCTGTATTAACAGTTTAAATTTGGAATAAAAGTTACTTTTGTGTCACAGATTCCATAATGAAGATAATCCTGAGGTAGCCCCAGAGGAAATCGTGTGTTTCTAATTTACATAGGGTAGAACCTACTTAATTTGCTGTGTATTGTTTACTGATCACAGAGATGGTACTGAGAGGGCAGCTACCAAGTATGCACAGCCTCTTCATGTCTTTTTAGTTAGAAAGCTGCTGCTTGCAAAATTAAGGAGTAGCTGTGTATTGTACAGGGTATGTCTTCAGTCTGACAGGAGCATGGATACTTCAGATATTTCAGGTCTGGGCTTTCTCCATCTTCTATTGCAGCTTGGTGCTGGATGTCAGCACAGTTTTGTAGTTGCAGGCCAGAATGTGACTGCATGCTCACTGCCTGTGCGGTGGAGGCTGGTAGCAGCTGTGCAGGGAGAGCCGTGGGTTCAAACAACAGGTTGCTAAAGGTGAAAAGGTGTGAAGATCAGTTGGATTCTCATGCTAGTGTACGTCCTTCAAGATAAACTGGGAGGACATGGGTACTGAGTACCTAGTTTTGATCGCAGTGTGTTCATGTGTGTTCGTATTGATGTTAATAAATTCAGTGTCCCAGGAAAGTTTCCAAGTCCCAGTG